GGAAATAATAACAGTTGTCTTGCAAACTAACTCAGTACTGGCCAGTAACTGTTTATAAAGGTTTTTCACATTTGCACAGTTATGCTCCAGACCATAATAAAAACATAGTACTTGAAATCTGGTTCTGATTAAGAATGACATTTATTTTGCATTAAAAAGCTGTTTTTCAAAGTTAAACAAGTATTCAGATACTTTAATTAAGTAAAGTTTTGGAATTTGTAAAGTTCCTAAGTAAAAAATACATTATGCAGAATCATATACATTATGTTATTGGATCATAACTATTATATATATAACTTTTCTACCCATATGGAAAAGAAATAGTAAAAACATATATGATTTACTCATGAAAGTGGCCACTTTCATGAGTAAATCATATATAAATCATATAAGGCTTACATGATTTACTCATGAAAGTGGCCACTTTCTCATTACTTTCATATATATTTTTTAGTAGGTATACAAAACATACAAGTTTCATTATATAATTTTTCAAGGGATCTTATATGTGTTTTCACTCTTGTATGCTTTTCATACAAGTTTCATACAAGACAGATAAAAACTTTATAAGATTTATATATATCTTTTCCATATGGGTACTCTGCTTGAGCCTTCAAAGTGCTTTATAAAACCTGCCTTAATCATACAAGCACCTATTTTCTACACCAAAGTGCTTACTACCCAAGATTCATACTTTAATGAAGACATCTGCTGGGAGCAACTTGGCGTTCAGTATCCTGCCCAAAGATACTTAGGTATGCTGACTGGAGCAGCCAGCCTTCCGATAACTACATGACCTACTGTACCTCCTGGCCCCAATACTTTAGCAATGCACTTTAAGAAAGTTATATTCTGTGGTGCATGAACACTTGAGATTTTTTTTAGTTCAGTTCATAACAGCTGTTTTAAGATTAAGGTCTTATTGTATAAGAGAGACAACAATCAGATAATCTATGAGCAAGTGCTTGGCAAAGGTGGAGAGAAAGAACTACCATTTGACAGGAAAAGAGTGCCACGAGAACCAGACTAGTAGCTCCTTAGGAAATGAGGGAAATGAAGAGCCAAAAGAGGAGCATAGCAGGAACACAAACAACAAACAGAGCAAAACACAAGCTTTGAAAAAGTTTGTTGTTGCTGATTTCTGTTAATTCACATCCTGGCCTGTTGGCCTATTGTTACCCAACAAATTGTTTTTAAAGACATTTTTAATACCTTTTTATGTGTAATTCAATGCAATTCTTATTTAATACAGTAAAAGTCAAGTAAATAAAGCACACATTTAATGAATTCATGTTGTGTTCTTATTGTTTCAATGCATGGGATGGCTGAAGCTCAGGAGATAAAGCAGGTTCTCCACTATTCAGAAGGTTGGGGGTTTGATTCCTGGTTGCTCCAGTCTGCATCTATCAGAGTATAAATGTATGCGAATGTTAGATAGAAAGCACTTAAGCATAGAAAAAAGAGAATGTTAATGTGGAGTATATATGAATGTGTATATACTCCCTGACTAATGTTTGTTTAATACCCCTTAGCGAGTTTCACTTTTATGAGGTGCTTTTGGTAGCTATCAACAAGCTTCTGGCATAATTCTGGCTGGATATCTGAGCACTCTTCTTGGCAGATAATAGTGGCATTCCCCATCTAGCACTGAGAAATGAACTTCAGTGATTTATCATCATAACACATTCGTTTTACTAACCACCTTGGCCAGTGTGTTTTATGTAGAGAAGATCAACAGTTTAAACATTTTATTGCTTCTTTTCCTAAAGGAGTGGTTTGAATAAATGTTTATTTGGTAACTTTTGGTACATTTGCCTTTCTGTAAAAGTAACCATAGGCCACTGACATAAGTACACGTTATTCAGATATGTCACCATCACTTTGCAAAGGTCTGGAAGAAAACCCAACTATCACCCATAAATGAATAGAAATTAGTAAGGATTTTCAGGTTTCAACCCTGGAACCACCAAGTGTTAAGCCTGCCATGAACTGGAAACTGCTGGAAGACCAGCATCACTGTCCAAACAGCATCACTGATCCATCTTCAATATCCATGAAGATGGATTACCCTCCTAATCGGATGCTGACCAAAAAAGAAGCCCCTGCTCCAAAATCAACACCTACTTTTAAAATGAAAATTTTAGCTGGCCACATGAACACCCCAAATGCTTTCTCAAGAAAAGTTTTATGTTCAAATAAGACAAAGCATGAGCTATTTGGCTATGATGACAAGAAATATGTTTAGAGGAGCACAAGTGAAGATTCTAGCCTAAAAGACTGTACCAGTTGTCAGGCATGGTGGGGGAAGCATCATGCTACGGGTCTTAATTGGTTGTAGTGGTACTGGTACATTGCACAAAGTGGTGGAATAATGAAAGAGGAGAACTACCTCCAAATTCTTCATCTTCACCTCAGATCAACAGCTAGATAGTTGGACATGTAAACATTGATATAGTAGGCTAACATTAACCATTTGAAATAGTCTTCCCAAAGCCTAAAATTCAACCTGTTGAAAAATTGAGGACATGGATCCATGCCAGGAAACCAACCAATTTAAATGAACTGCCAATTTTGCCAGAAGGTTGTTGATGGGTACCAAAAGTGCCTGGTCGAGCTGTAGCTAGCTAACAGCCAAATATTAGTGAGGGTGTATGTATACTTTTCACCCTGCGAGGATTAAAGAAAATGCTAAATAAATTCAGACTTGATTAATGCATAAAATGCATTTAATTTTTACAAGATACATTTGAATATTAAATGGAGAATCGTGTTTTGGTTTACTTTACTGTTCCAGTAAGTCATTTCTTACTGTGAACTACAATTCACTCTTTACTCAAATTATTATTATCTACTCTTACTACTTTTTATTAGTAAAAGTAGCAGTAGTAGTAGAAGTACTTCAGCTGCTCCTCTTAAGGATCATCATTCAACAGATCATTTACTTTCAACTCACCTTGTCCATAGCATCCTCCTCTGTAACACTGACCCACTGCATGTCCTCCTTCACTACATCCGTGAACCTTCTGTGTGGTCTTTCCACTTCTCCTTGCTTGGCAGATCCATATTCAGTATCCCTTCCCACTATGTCCACTAACCCTCCTCTGCACCTGTCCAAACCATGACTGATTGATTTTGTCTTCAGACTGCTCAAGCTAATCTGTGCCTCTGATGTACTCATTTCTAATCTTGGCCTTTCTTAACATTTTCTGCTCTTCTACTTTCAGCTTGTCTTCCTTTCTTTTTGCTAGTGGCACCATCTCCAAATCATACATCATAGCCACTACCATCTTATTAACTTTCAGTTTCCCTCTTGTATTTCCCTCTTTAGACTATTATTTAGACTTGTCCACCTTCACTACCTCTTTTGTTGCAGCTTCACTTTTCCATCTGTCTCTCTTTAATTTACACAGGTATATCTAGCTTTTACTGACTTTCATGTCTCATCTCTCCAGTACATACATTCATGTCTCCAGACTCTCTTTCACTTGCTCCTTACTATCACTAGAGATCACAATGTCGTCTGCACACATGATCGTCTGTGGTAACTCTTGCCTGACCTCATCTGACAGCCTGTCCATTACAATCACAAACAAGAAGTAGTTCTGAGCAGATGCAACCCCACCCCCACCTTGAACCCATCTGTCACTCCTACCTCACACCTCACCTCTGTGCTGCTGTCCTCATGTATGCCCTGCACCACCCTCACCACTTCTTTGCTACTGCTGACTTCCTCATGCAGTACCACAGTTCCTCTCCTGGCACCTATGCTTCCCCTGCATCCACAAAGAAACAGTAAAACTCCTTCTGACCTTCCCTAGACTTCTTTATCAACACTCTCAGAGCAAACAACTGTGGTCTCTTTCTTGGTTTGAAGCCGGCTGCTCTTTGATCATCACCTTTCTTCTCAACCTAGCTTCAACAACTGTTCCCCATAGCTTCATGGCTCCGCAGCTCTACCACTCTGTAGTTACTACAGCTCTGCGCATCACCCTTGTTCTTGAAAACTGTTACCAGTATACTTATTCTCCATTCCTCAAGCATCTTCTCCGACTCTAAGATTATTTTAAACTGCTCTCTCTCCCCAAAGCCTTGACCCTTCACAGGTATGTCATTTGGAGCAACTGGCTTTCCACTCTTCATCCTCTGCATAGCTCCCCTCATTTCCTCCTTACTAATCCTCTGCACTTCCTCTCATTTTCTTCATTCATCACCTTCTCATAGTAATCCTTCCATCTTCTCAGCACACTCTCTTCACTCATTAGTACATTTCCATCTCTATCCTTAATCACTATAACCTCTCTCTCTCTCAGTCTGTGCTTTTCTCCTTCCTTATTGTTCAGCCTCACATACAAATCACAATAAGAGTTTTCCTTCGCTTTTGCCCCCTCTCTTTTTGCTGAACACCTTAATTATAAGTACCCATTTCGACTTTCTTAAACTCACTCTCTCATTTTAATATAATATTTAAATGCAGGGCGTTTAAGAGTTTTTCTACGCAGTCTCATTGCTTTTTTGGCCATCATTTTAATAACAATAATAATTCTTAAGGCTTAAGGCTTCCTGCTATGTTTTCGAGTGTATTTTCAGCTCTATGTTGGTCTGCAGCATGTCCAAGTGTAATCTATATTTAATTAGAATATCTAAATGAAATATAAGATGAAATAAAACATTTATGTTGTGTATCCCTACGCGTATCCCTAGTATTAAATGTCATTGTTGAACAGTTTTATAATATGAGTAGTGTTGCTCTATCCAGTGTTGCACACTAACTCCGCCCTCGTCTGGGGTTGACCGAACGCCACGTACAGTTTGGCTCAACGCACCTTAAGCCAACGGGGGGCGGTTGTTGATACACTATGAGTGACAGGTGTATTGACCAATCGCCTCTCAACGCGACTGTTTTGTGAAAGAAAGTATACTTTCTTAGGCCAATAAGAGAAGCCAGAGGCGGTGCGTTGCCATGGTGAACACAACCTTTTTATATAGGTTGTAGCCAAGGGAGGCTTGTATTGGTGGTTAACAGATGACCGTTGTAAACAAGCTCCGGTGAAGCTCAGGCACTTTGAGGAACACTAAACCGTGAAAGCCAGGTGAAGAATAAAAAAAGAGGAGAGCAAAATAAGCTCCACGTTACAAGTAAGTATTATTTCACGCGAGGTGACGTTTACTAACGCTGTTCTCTCTGTCTGCTGAGGCTTAGTTTAGAGCATTTTCTACATCCATGTAGATAATGAATTAGCTGGCATCCTCACTGCATGATCCCTACTGAACAACCTGTTCCTTAAACTACACACTCAGTCCGATTTTGATTCACTGTGACTAACAGGTTCACAGCGTTCAACTTAGAAATCTCTAAGAAAATATTCTAAAGTAAGCCACCAAACACGTGTGCTGCACGGGCCCTTTCTTATGGGAATTGCTTTTCAGATTAAGAGTTATTTGCATAACCTTATCAGTGTTCTGTCTCTATTTGAAGTGTTGACTTGCACCACTTTTTAAAAAAAAAAAAAAAAAAAAAAAAAAAATATATATATATATATTTTGTCAGGGACCAAGCAGTAAAGCATAAAGGACACAGGTGGTTTTAATTCAAAAAACGGGTTTTATTGACCCAAAAATATGAAAATATATTTAACAAAGCCAAAACTTAAACAGGCAGACCAATAAAAGAGGTCAACTCAATAGACTAAACTCAAGATAATAATTAACAAAACCTCAAACAACCATATGGTAAACTGACCTGCTGAAATGACACACAGGGGGACTTAAATACTGGTTTAGCTAAACCAAATGACACACACGGGGGAAAACAAGATGGCTGCCATATAACCAACTAATACAAAACATTTAAACAAACATGAAACACCCCCCAGGCAATGAAGCATGTGGTGCAATCCAATTAGGCTGTCAGCAGTACTTCAGGTCTCCCAGCCCTTTGCCACACCTTTTGCCAGACAGGAGGAGACACCAACCCCCAGGTAACTCAAACAAAGAAAGATGTATTAATATAACATAAAACAGAACTTTGACCCTGCAAGGTTAATATGTGTGCACGCCATATAAACATTGGAAGGTGTGATGGAAAAATGAATACATTTAATAAAGAAACGATATTGAACAATAAATAGAATATTTTAAAGTAGTGACTGTAAATTAAACTAAAGTGAATCAACGGGTGATGAGGTGTGGAGCTTACCATGTGTGGCATGCCATCACATATATATATATATATATTTAATAAAGATACGGCAAGTGCTCATTTTGTTCTGACTGCAGAGCTTTCTAAAAGATGTACGATCTTCACCTAACCTGAAACTAACTCCTATCTTTTTTCTTATCTATTTTATGTATGCTTTGCCTGACCAGATGGTGAGGAGTAAAGCCTTGGCCCGCTGTGGCCTTGTTCTGCTCAGTTTGTGGCTGTGTATCCAGTCAGTGCCTATCAGTGTGGACAAGACCAAAGAAAAGGCTAAAGAGGAGGAACTGGGTCCACCCGAGAGTGCTGTGAGTCACACGGGCAGTGTGAAATAAAGGGATATCCTATTAAAATGGAGTCTTACAGCTAAGTAGATAAAGCTCAGGGTGATCCAGACATGAAGTCAGCTGTTTCAGACACCTTTCAGAAATGCTTACTGACTAAAGATTGATTGAAAAACAAACAAAAGCAGTGTCTGTTAAATTAGGTGTAACTGTTCATTAGAAGAATTAATTGACTGGGAAAAAATACCCATAATCGGACTGAATAATGTTATGCATTGACAAGCTAAATGTGGTCTATTTCTCAGGACACTGGGTTGCACTACGACCGCTACCTCAGGGAGGTCATTGAGTATCTTGAGAAGGACCCCCACTTTAGAGAAAAGCTCAAAAATGCCAATATGGATGACATCAAGGTGCACACTTGCAAAAACAGCCCAATATTTTGTAAGCTGGTTGTCGACGTGGACATTTTTTATTGAACTATGGTATGTTGACTGTCTGCTTGCAGCAAGGCAAACTTTCCAAAGAGCTGAACTTTGTTCAGCACAATTTTCGGACCAAGCTGGATGAGCTAAAGAGGGAGGAGATGAACAGGCTGCGAATGCTCATAAAAGCTAAACACGACATCAAGGAAGGAAATGGTAAGTATCTTAAAGAAAGGGGGAAAAAATGATGTGTCACTGAGAAACTTGAACTTGAAATTTCATAAGTTTGCACAACAACTTCCGCAGTTTAAGTCAGTCCATTAGTTATGTTATTGAATGCAGAACTTAACTCTTGAAAGAAAATTATTATTCAAATTTAAATTTTGATCATTAATAGAGGAAGCTGTATAAATGTTCATGCAGAATAGATTAACACAAGTGTAGGTAGAGAAAAGAAGCAAAGATAGAAGTCATAGGTCAATTTATTAAAAAACAAAAATGCATTGATATTCATGTAATCCTTTAACGCTTTCTAGAATAAATGTATTAAGTTTTGGTACAAAATGTGTTTGTAAAACCCAGCGGAAAAGAATAACCATGACACAACTCCAAAAAACCAAGTGTCTTTGTTTTACAGTTGAATAAATCTAATCATTATTCCTTTTCTTGCAGGCCAAACAGTGGACCACCAGGCCCTGCTGAAACAGTTTGAGCACCTGAACCACAAGAATCCACACACTTTCGAGGTGGATGACCTGGACCGTCTCATCAAATCGGTACACATACACCTAGTCATTAGCGCAGCTACTTGAAGGTTAATACTGACCCTGTTTCTCTGCACTGGTATGGCACAGTCACATTTATAATGACAGTTGCTCATGCAGAAATATTGCCATACTTAGCATAGCGTATTGGGAATTTCAGTGAGGGATGTTTAACTAGTCTGGCTTTTTTTAAAATTTTAGATGTAATAAGTTGGAGGCATTCACAGCTTTGTTCCCTTTGTTGGAGAGTGCTGACTCATTAGAGGTAAATGTGTAAGTTTTGCGAGACCAACATGTTTCCTGTGTGTGAAATGAGTATAAAAGAATAGTAATGGGGAGGCCGGCTTAATGAGTTTGCATGCCTCTGTAGTTTTACAACAAAGCTTCCAGTCATGCAGATGTAAATCCTAAAAATATTTTATATAAGTTTTACTTTTCTGTAGCATTTAGCTTTGCTCTATAATCATTGACCTACTATTTTGCCTTGGCACTGCTTGAGAAATGCAAAGAATGGTGATAAATGAGCATTTGCTTTGTTTTGTATTACCATAGCATTTTCATGTACTTTATGCTGAGCAAGTCCTTGCAGGGTTCTAGAATAAAGAGCCACCCAGAGGTTCTAATAAAATCAGGCCAAAATAATAATTTTAAACTCACAGATCCAGATTTTGAACTATGACAACAGTGTATTTATAGTACTCAGCAAAAGGTACAGTCACTATCAGAAATCCATCCATCCCTACATCCATATATCCATACATCCCTTTTCTTCCACTTATTCATGGTTTTGAGGGGCTGAAGCATACCACAGTTGTCATAAGGAGAGCGATAGGGTCCACCTTGAACAGGTTGCCAGTCTGTTGGCTAACACATAGTAAACAAAGAGGTACTGGTAGAACTTCAAACAGAAACGCCCCCATGCTGTGAGGTGGCAGTGCTAAGCATTGCACCACTGTGGGGCATTGTCTGTTATTAAGCCCTACCAATACAAAGAGCTTTTAGATTCTAGATACACACACCAGAATACTTTTGCAATCAAACCATTTGTCCAAATATGTTTTTTTATAAATCAACTTATTGTTACTGCAGCTCTCAGGTTTAGGAAGTCAGAGGTACTGTTTATTCATACCCAGTTAGCACTCACTAGTATCCACTAGTAAGCATGCTAGCACTAAATGGATGAATAAATTTCACCGCATGAGCTAAACACAAAAAGCATGCTATATCTGCCTGGGTTGTCTCTGCATTCAATGCTGAGTGATGCTAAGACTGTGACATGGCTAGTAATTATTCAGCTCAACAGTTTGCTTCATCCTCTATGGAACAACTCTGATCAGGCATCTGGATGTTGAATAGAGTCCATCTGTTTCAACGAGGTGCATAAATCTGCAGAATTAAGAGGTGAATTCCACTTCCCAACTTTTTGTTTTTACGTCTAGGCGACTAATGACCTGGAGAACTTTGACAAGGACCGCCATGATGAGTTCAAGCAATACGAGATGATGAAAGAGCATGAGCGACGGCAACGCCTGAAGAACTTGAATGAGGAGGATCGCAAGAAGGAAGAGGAACACTACGAGGAAATGAAGAAGAAACACGCCAGCCACCCTAAAGTCAACCACCCTGTAAGACGCCAGCTATAAAGCAGTTCATTACGAATGCTAAGATTATAGCCAATGCGGGGGAACAAATGACATTGAAGCTGAATGATATTATTTGGAAAACATGAATGATTTTTTTTTTTTATGATAAAATTAACTCATTTAGTTGGGCCAATTTTATTTAGATTTATATGCAAGCCATAGAATAAAGATGCTAAATAGTGCTAAATACAAAACAAGAAAAAGGAGAAACCTTGATGTGTACCTCTGTGTGTGCAGGGCAGTGAGGACCAGCTAAAAGAGGTGTGGCAGGAGGCAGATGGTTTAGATCCAGAAGATTTTGATCCAAAAACTTTCTTCAAAATGCACGGTAACCATAGACCATACACTGAAGGTCGTTTAAGAGCAAAGAATGAATATAGCATTCAAATGTTGTCTTATTTGCTAGTGTGCCAAAACTATGGATGGTTAAAATCAGACACAGATTTCCGTTGTTTGTTTTGTGTTGCAGACAGCAACGGAGACGGCTTCTTTGATGAGAGTGAGCTTGAAGCTCTCTTTACTAAAGAGGTATATGTTTTATGTCTAACTCTGGTTCTGCATAGTCTGCGATAATGTAATCTGCAAATGAACAAGTCTCTGAGGTAAAATTTGTGCATTTCATTAAGCTGGAGAAGGTTTACAACCCAGAAAATGAAGAGGATGACATGGTTGAGATGGAGGAAGAGAGACTGCGAATGAGAGAGCATGTTATGAACGAGGTGAGCCACCACAAAACTATAAAATGTACAGATCATTGTCATGTTTATTAGCATTTCTAAAGTATTGATTAGTATGTTATGAAGGTATTCTCTGTTGTCAGAATACAATCATAATGTATATTTCATAACAAACGTGTGGCATTGCTGCCTGAAATCTAATGAATGAATTTAAACATCTGTGTGTGGAGTAGCTATTTTAGCAAGGAGCTAAAGGTCAGGGCCTTTGGGACGTATCTGGTGAGTGATTTATCTCGATGACAGTTGTTGCTCAAAATTGCTTCATGTATTGACATTCAGGTGGACACCAATAAAGACAGGCTTGTATCACTGAGCGAATTCATGGCAGCCACAAAGAAGGAAGAGTTCTATGAAAAAGACGAATGGGAGGTAAGAGCTAGTAAGGTTTGGCTTCCCTCCTGGCATTTTTGTGTATAGAGTAGTATTAAAAATTAATGTGAACCCAATGTTATGTTAGTGTATTAAAATTCAATTCAATTATTCATCAATATGAGCTATGAAACTATGAGCTTAGGCTCGCGTAAGTGCAACACAATAAACAGCTGTTTTCAGAAATTGTCTACAAAGGGTGAGATTCCAAATCATTAAACTCCCCAAGAGATTTAACAGCTGACATTATATCATGAAATCAGAAATGTATATGATTTCTTATCACATCATTTATTTATGTGCCCTCTGCAGACTTTAGATCAGAACCCATTGTACACCGAAGAGGAGCTGAGAGAGTTTGAACAACAACTGGCCAATGAGGAGAATGACATCAACAAGAAGTCGGCTGAGCTGCAGAAAGAGAGAGAGGAACTTGAAAGAAAACAGGAAGAACTTGATGCTCAGAAGCTGGGGCTGAAACAGGTGAATTATCTGTCAACTATCCATAGCAGATGAAATACAATCTGAAAATAGGATTTTTCTATACAGTTGCTTGACCCTTTCTACAGATGTAAGAATCTGGCTTACAGTGTGAAACATGCTGAATTGCACTTAAATCTTGTTTTAGAGACTTGTAGACTTGAAACATGCAGGCAATAGCAAACAAAGTCTTAAACCATTTTTATGCTCTTAACATTTTTTTGTCCTTCTCTCGCTGCTCAGGCAATGGAAGAAATGGAAAGGGTTAAATCCCAAAGCTTAAATGCTGATGTAAAACGTGAGTATGAAATTTATGATAAATGATGCTGGAAACAACAAATCACATGATGTTAAAGGTCTCTTAATTGCACTCTACTTCCATTTTAACATTTTTTAAAATCAAGTGAAAATTAACCACCCAGTCGAAAACCTGCATCCAGATCCACAGAACAGCCAAAATAAGTTATTTACTTGTGCATCCCCAATCAAAATACACTTAAAAAGATGCAGTGAGGGAAAAGCATTGTTATCCTTTTTAATAAGACGAGATTAAAAGCTTTTTATCATATCCTAATAATGCACATATGAATCTTTGTTACAGAGCCTGCAGCTCCTCTAACTGCAGGTGAACATGCACCAGTTGTACCAGGAAACAGTCAGCCACCTCCGCCTGGTCACCAGCAGCAAGATGTACCCGTGCCTGGACATTCTTAGCAGGCCTCACCACCCTGTGTGCGATGTGAGTGAGCATGCAAGTGTGCTTGTGTTTTCATGATTTCAATTTTGGGTTATTGTTTAGAATTTTCAAAACACACAGCAACACATAGGGGGGTGGAAAAGATCTCTTAGTGCCAATGATGCCCTTCCTTCTGCTGGTTAAATCAACTGAATGAGCCAGCCTGGAAATGTGGAGCTGCTCCAGTTTTCTATGTGGACAATCAACCCTTTTGTTTTTGTTTTTTTAATCTTGTATCACAAAAGGACTCTGTTCTCTATTGGAAGTTCTTTGGGGTGAAATGGGGAGGGCAGCTGGCCTGATAACTGAATGTTTAGTTTTGTTCACACTGTAGTTTCACTGCCACTTTTTCCTTAAGGAAATCCTTTCAGAATATTATTTATTTTTATGGTAAATTGTGAATTATTTTGGAAAAAATAAATGCCAGAAAAGTAAGATTAGAGCCGAAATGAAGTTTTATAGAAAAAGTGTTTCCTTCAATGTCTTTTCAAGCTGTTGTGACCTCTGGATCAGATTAGTGCAGAATAAGAGATGAAGTTAAATATATACAATATGTATTTAAATGTTATAATTTTTAATAATTGTGTTTGTGATTGTGACAATTGTATGGATTATGAAGTGGTTGCCTGGATGTCAGTGCTTAGGAGTGTCTGTGAATTTGTGTTTATTTATTCTCGAACCACTGTAAATGAAATGAATGCAGTAGGTTGAAATTTGCCTTGTAAAAATCTGAATTAAACTCCAGAAGGAAGCACAAGGTAAAAAACAACAACTAATTTTTTTTTCACTACAGACTAATAGCAAAGAAAAGATGGACACAAAATACTTTGAAGAGTTGAAGTAAAATACACTGGTTACTTTATTTTCAAACAACAACCTCTCTCCAACCTGGTATATGTGCTGAACAGTTTATGTTTATGTGACTTGTTAAAAAAGTACTTAAATGTCCAACTAATGTCCTGTGAAAAAAAATCATGAAAATGATGTACAAGGTTTGAATGTCTAAAATTAAGGTGAATGAGCTTGCAGATACAATGTTTCTGTCTCTTATTTTCATCACAAACCTCAAGTTCAACTCATCTTATAAACACAGTCATAAGTTAACATTCAGTTTTATAATTACTGTAGAATCTGAAGTGACATAATCATACTTCTGACAATAACTCACTGAACATGATTTAAAAAAACAAACAAAAAAACTTTCTTAATCAAATGGTCAGAATGGTGGGTTCAAATTCAGCTTCTTCCATATGATTCATTGAATCGCTCAGTGAGATAGGCGCCTGCTGTAACTGGCGGATATTTGTTGGAGCCATCACAGCAGGTGATCAGAGCCTCGTCATCCGGCTGGACAAAGTAAGCCAGAGACTGCCGTGTGCTGGAGTCTCCGACAGGAGGCAGCAAAACCCTGTGGAGCTAAGAAACAACAAGCAACACTAAACTATAATCCTAATGCCATGGCCATATGCAAAAACTTTTTTGGGAAGCATTTTAACTCTGTTGGCTTCAAAAAAGATCATGGGTCACAAAAACATATCTAAAGTTAAAGTAGGTGAGACCTTTCTTATTTCCTATAAATGACCCAATCTGACATATGTAGTCGCATTTACTTTTCTAGTTACAGTGCATTTCCATAACCTTGTCATAAAACCTTGGGGCGGAAATATCCCCTTCACTCACCACAGAGACGAACTGATCGCTCGTCCAGCGCTGCATCAGGTCAGCGATATTGACGAGGATGGCTCCGGGGATACAGGGAACAGGGATGAATTCACCTGAGCGTGTACGCACCTGACGGTCAAAAAGTGTCAGGAGGATAACAGGATTATTTGATACTTTGCTTGACTTTAACACATAATGTGTTACTAACTAAGCAAAACACATGACTTACAATTGAAGAAACAGTGATGACAGCTGTTTAAAGTGGCACACCACAGGAATTCCAGCTTAAGTGAGTTTGTAAATTAATCAGACCCTTTTTCAGTATGTTACCAAGCAACTTATGTGCTTGTGTGTCCCAGTGGTACAGGCCTTACCTGCAGACCTTCTGAGCTCTGGAACAGCAGAGTAATGCTGCCATAGTCTGAATGCTCTCCACATCGCAGCTGGCCCTCCTTTGCTTTCTCACAATTCACTGGTGGGTAGTAGAGAGATCGCATCGTAGTGCCATTTTTGTCAGCTAGAGGAGACACAGCAGTGTTGTCAATGCAGTGTATCTCTTGTTTGTTTGTACCAATTTATGGACCAATCCTCCAAAACCGTAATCTGGTCTGCCTTGAGGTTACACTTTACAAAAAAGAAAAAAAATTCTTTCCCAGGATTTTTGTTAGATTTTCAGTCATTTCCCTCGTTTGTTACTCGCATTTACATGTGTCTTGTATTTATATTCATTTTTCTTTTATTTTGTGCTGTATTTTTGTTATTTTTTTAATTTAGGAGAAGAGCTATATAAAGTACTAAATGAATATAATATATAGTACATAAATTAAGCTAACATGTCTTGGTTGAACATTTTGCCCTTATTAGTATTCTCCCTAATTTTGTAGAATTAGATACTGCCAGTTTGTGTGTGTGTGTGTGTGTGTGTGTGTGTGTGTGTGTGTGTGTGTGTGTGTGTGTGAATAAAACCTTCTCACAAGGTCCATATGATCTGGGATCAGTGACCGCCCCTCATGACATGTAGCTTGAACACTTAGTAAAACTGATCATATGCCACTGTACACTGGGTACAGTGTATGGGGTAAACATACTTCCTATTAAACGGTGTGCACGCAAGAAGACTTCTGGGTCGAGTCCCAGACTGTGGGCCATCACCCTCAGCAACCGAAGACTCAGCTCTTTGCAGCGCAGAAAAAAGGATGTCTGGAACTCCTGAAAACTTTTCAAACTGCCTGATGATGGCCATTTCTACAACAGAAAACAACAGAACCACATCAGAGTCTGACTAATGATAATACTGATATTGATATCTTAAAGTACCCATAGTATGCTCATTGACCTACTTATAGTTTCAGTGTTATAATAAGATGGGTTTATGCTTTAATGTTCAATACATCAAAATTTTTGGTATCCTGTTATCCTGGACTTTACTGTACCAGCTCGTGTTGTTTTGTTATAATGTGTATTTAATGTAGAGAATGAGTCTGTAACCTTGCTGGTACTATTAAAAGTGCATAGCAGCTGAAAACTGATTCCAATTCTGATGGCTTGTTTGTATTACTCTCAACGGGGTGTGTTTGTGTCACTATTTTAATGTTTGTTTTGCTGTCAAATAAAGAATGAAATATGTAAAAAGAACAAGTTTATCTGGAATTTTGTGATATTAAGATGCAGGACATGTCAGTGACTTGATGTGGATTTTGGCTTTTAACTTCAAAATCCAAGAAACAAGGACACTCTGGAGTCCAGAGAAAAACCACCCATGTTTCAGCACCTTGTACGACCACCTGTGGTAGTAATATTTAAAGTACTGCCTTCTGTGCCACTCTTTCAGATTGTGTTACTGTTCACACTCTTCATTATAATGTTGCTCCAGTTCATCGAGGTGTGTAGTTGTTTTGCTTATGCACAGTTCTGTTAATGTCCCACCACATAATTTCAAACAGGTTGAAGTCTGTACTTTGACCGTGCCGTTGCAACACTCTCATTCTCTTCTTTTTCATTCATTCAGTTGTAGATTACCTGGGATCTTTGTCCTTTTGCATGACCCTATAGCTGTTGGACAGATGGCCTCACATTAGACTCTAAAATACTTTGGCATGCAGGGGAGTTCATGGCCAAACAGTGACTAAGGGCCCAGATCCTGTAGCTGCAAAACAAGCCCAATTTATCACCTGCCCACCAGTGTGCTTGAGAGTTAGGATGAGGTATATGTGCTAATATGCTGTTTTTGGTCCCTGATAAACAAGGTGCTGTGCACTGTAGCCAAACATCTCCACTTTGCTCACATTCGTCCAAAGAAGAGATTGAGGAGTCTTGGACAGAAGAGTCTTTGTGCTGGCAACCCTTATGAACAAGAAGCCATATTTGTTCAGTCTTTTCCTAACTGGAACTTCATGAACTTTAACATTTAACTTCCAACTGAGGCCTATGGAGATGTAACTTTATTTCACTAAGAACTGCATGCTCTGACCTTGGAGTGAACTTGTAGGATGTCCATTCCAGGGATGACTGTGTAATTGTGTTAAGATTAAGGAAATGCCTCTGGAGAAAGTCTCCCCCAGGTCAGCAAACTGCCAAAACCTCTGCTCATATAGAGTTGGTTACACTTGCTGATTATCAGCTAATTATGTGCATTTGATGCAATCAAGTGTATTCAATAAGCAGCACCCCTGCTGCTACTTTCCTCTTAATAGGGGTGTACATAGTTTTTCATTCAACATTTATTTTCCTGATTCCTCTCTAAAGTAACAGATACTGAGTAACTTGTACTTTAACCCCCTGACTAATAACCTTGTGGCACCATGCAGTTGTTGTGTCTGAGCCCAAACTCTTAAGGTTAATCATAAAATAAATAAACTGATGAAAACAAACGATCAAGGCTTTTGCCTCCGAGTTATTACTATATCAGGATGAAGGGAGGCAGTGTTGAAAGACTCCTTCAGGTCCCCAGGTCGACGTGGATTCAACCTATAAAGAAATTATCCGAATTTAAACTCTCTTCCGCAGATACACATTAAAGTATAAAACGTATGCTTCCTACCTCTCCGTCTCCAATGACACCCAACCGTGGTTAGGGTTGTTCACGAAACTTTTCCTGCTGAAGGGTTGCTTCAGTTCATCTGGCTGCAGGAAGAATTTCTTGGATATCTCCATGACACAGTCCACCTGTCCAAACACACCAGAAGAAAAAGACGGATTCCAGTGTAAGTTCCTCGATAATAATTTTATTCTATCTAACTGGCCTCACCTCCTCCTGAGTAATCCCCGTGTTCCTCAGAAATGCAAAACCAACATCTCTAAATGCTGATTTCAACTCTGTGCTTAAACTCTGCCACTGCTCGTCAGCGACATCCTTCTCGCTCAGCCTGTAGGCGCCGAAATCCACAACTGGGATGTTCATTGTAAAAAAAAAAGCTAAAGTTTCTTCAGTAAAAACAGCGTCGGGTTAAAAGACAGTCTGAGTTGAACACGAACAGTAAAAATAAATCGCAAATGTCCACCACTAGTATCTAGGCTTTCGGTCACATGACATTGTCTAGCCAATAGGAAAAATTCTCTTAATAATGCCAAATTGTGCAATAGCGGACTATCTTCTCACCTTTGGTTATCCTCAGGTGTGTTGTTGTAAATGTGGCAGCGGGCAATAACTGAGCTAAAAAAAAAAAAGAATTAGCTTCTGCCGTACATTTTCCTTCTCAGAACATTAATATCTCAAATGTTTGATTTGAAGAAAGAGTGGAGCATCTCCTTTGCAGGATGCGGGTTCATGGGGATTTACTATGTTGGTGCCACCAGTTGTATCCTTGAACGGTTCCCTCGGTTCATACAAGACGCTTCTAAAATCTATGGAGCCTCTGCAGGGGCTTTGACGGCTGCTGTTCTTACTTTGGGAATACCACTAGGTGAGATTTTAGCTTCTTCTATACCTTCACGACCTCCATTTATCTTCTATGTAGACAAAACATAGTATCTACTTTGATTATCTAATAGGCAGATATAACAATAGTGAAGAAAGAGGCAATGCCGCTATCAGCATAATATATATATATATAGTCTTTGCAAAACTGCAGTTAAGTCATAAATTACTTTTTTTTTATGATAAAATGTATTGCTGTTCCGATGGTGGAAAACTGAGCACAAACAAACATTTATGGGAAATTACAAAGTATTGCTAGAGCTAAATCAATTGTCTGAATCATAAAAAACAACCTTTGCTGTTTAGTTATAAAAACTAACTAAAAGATTTGTGTCCTATGTAAAAGAGCCACTGTGATGGAAAAACTGAGATATGCAGTGTACTTGTATGTGTCTGATATTATTAAAAAAGAGAAGAATTTATATGCAGATGTTGGCCCTTGAACAAAAATGACTCTGGCACCCCTAAGTTATTGTTTTAATTCTCACGTTTTTCCTCTCTCCCATCTTTGATTGTCTGCACTTTTTTTTTTTTTGTCCCGTTTGGATCTTTAGCCATCAGAATTGTTGTCTTAAGGCCAAGAAAGATGCCAAGCGGATTTATTTTACCAAGTGGATCATCATGGCCTTGCCATATTGGTCCATTTGATTGACCTTTATTATAATTATGAATTTATTTTATTTTCAGTTGCTACAAACGGGACAGACATGACTGGGGGATAGGACAGGGAGAAAGAATGAAAGAAAGAGAGGGAGAGAAAGAAAACCAAAGGGGAGAAGAGACGGTGAGAAGGGGGGGAAGAAAGAAAAAACAAAACAAAAAAAACCCAAAACACCTGGGTCACCTGTATGGAGAAAAAAAACAGAAGAGAAAGCAAACAACAAAGAGCAACATAATAAAAAAAACAGCACCATCACAATAAACTAGCTAGCAGTAGATATCAGTAGATACTAAATAATAAACGATATTGTGCAGCACGCAAGATAGACAGCGCACAATGTGCTTTGAGGCAGCAGCCAAGAAAGCTGTAGTCCGCGTCTGTGAATACCCGTGTGTACACCTGTGTGCATACCTGTGTGGATCAGCATGCTTGCATTCCAAAGGTTTCTCCATGTAACGATCTGCTAGGGAGTGTGGGGGGGCCACAGCCCCGTCCTCCAGGGCATGAAGCAGGTATGGAGGAGATCAAAACTCCAGACATCCAGAGGCCCCCAGAACACAAGAGACCAAGGAAGACCAACAGAGGGGCAGCCGCGCCACTGTTCCAGTAAGAGCTGAGGAGAGTCCCAGATGAGGGCTCACTGAGCAGCCGCGGAGCAGAAGCCAGGGGGAGTTGCAGTGACGCGCCCGTGAGCTCCGCCGGCAGCCAGCCGTGCCTGAGTGACCGAGCCCCAGGCCAAGAGGCCGGGGGCACCCCACCTCCGAAGTGGCCCGAGCGAGCCCCAGGCTCCAGGCCCCGATAAGCGGCCGCCAAGGAGTGAGCCGGTGTGTACCTGGACGCCCACCCCCAGACACAAAGAACCACCAACGCACCGACACCTGAGGGAGTCCGCCACTGGCAGTTGAAGTGGTGGTAGGGGGAGATAGGCCTCCAAACCTTGGAGGGCCTGAGATGTCCCCAGAGAGGTGGCGTCTGATACCCAACCTGACATATAGACACAGACATACAGGCACACACAGACACAAGCATCCATTCCCACCCTCATGCTCTCATATGCACTTACTCCACACTCAACCAACGTGGAGACAGACATAAAGAGACACTGTACACACGATCACACTCCCCAAGCGTACTCTACGAACCGGGTCTAGGTACCCTTGCCCCTGGAGGGGAGAACTGCACCCAGACCCAGGTGGTGTTACCCTTTTCCCTGTGGTGGGGGGAGGCAGACCGCCCCGACTCCACAGCAGCAGGGAGGCCCCACACTCCAGACCGCAGTCGGACGGCCAACTCCTCCTCCTAGCCCCCCCGCTCCAGCAGGCTGCAGAGAATGGGGGTGAGAGAAGACTCCAAACCTCCCTCCACCCGCTCATTGTAGTGTTGATGCATGTGTGTTCTAAGGTGCAATTAAAACCCAGGAGGGCTTGGAGCTACCTGCCAGAGAGCAGCAGGTAAGCGCATAGTCCCTCCTGCTAGCCCTCAATGTCTACGTGTATTCAAAATTGAGAGGTGGGCAACGACGCCAGGGGTGAGGTGTACACCCTGATGGTAATTTGGACTCCGTGTATCGTGCCCACCCCCAAGATCCTATATGTATGTGCAATGAGAGTGTGAGTAATGTGAATGTCTAAGTTGTGGGATAAAATTGAGGCAGAAGCAGCCAGAAGGGGACAGAGGGGGGGGGGGGGGGGGGGGGGGTAGCCTCCTCTGCACCCTGGTGACATACCCCTACTCCAAGGCCCTGCATGTGTGGGTGGTTGTGGTGGAGCGGGAAGAGGGAGGCAGCTGGAGATGGGGAGGGAAGGAAGGGAGGGGCAGGTGACCCCTCCCTGGGGCCAGCTCCCCCGCTGACCCCAGTAGGCACTCCCATACTCCGCGACCCGCCAGGGAAAGGGGGCCCAGGCCCATCCAGACCGGGGCCCAGTGCAGGAGCGCCTCCCGGCCCCACAGAGCCCGGGACAGTCCACCCAACCCCACCACAGAGAAAACTGCACCCACCCCACCATCCACTCATCTTCCAGACTACATGAGACAATAGACGCCCAGGCTGATTGTCTGCACTTTGCCAGAGATGGTTCTAGTCCCCTCTGGTGTTGCTGCATCTTATTTGATTTAAAGAAAAACACATACACAGGAAAAGTAAAGTACATTAGCCTAGTGAGCTTACTCAGTATCTCTGATTGGTGACAAGTGTTAAGGTTCAAAATATTGGGGATGGAGACAAGAGAAAAAACCACAATAACAACACTGGTCCGGCCGGGTTGAGTCAAACGATGATTTAATGATCACACACGTGGGACATGGACACTGATGCAGACAGCCTCAAAATCTCAAAATGGTGGAGCATTGCTCAAACTTTTATAACCTCTGGTGCCTCCACCTTATCATAAAAAGCCTAAACATTCACATGCTCTCTCTCACACAGCGCCTAAGCTACGACCTTGGCTCCCTGTTTATCTGCTCCTGCTGAAATGGGGCAGAAAGCTCCAGCACACTCTGTTCTCTTCTACTCAGACAAATTAGACAATAACCTTCTGCGAACAGTATTTCTTATAACTCAGCAATATAATGCATCATAAAACAATATCATTCATTCACAACAAGTCAGCAATTTAATGTAATGCAAATCAGTTTAACTAATGCAATAGTTATCAGCTTCTTCTAATTCAGGAGAATAATGCAAACTAAAACTACATAATAATTCACAATCTTTAATTAGGGGTATAACATGGCATAAAATAATATCATAATTTTACAATTCCCCCTGATGAGGTCATTAGAATAATGACCTCACAAGGGAAAGGAAAACAACTTTAGTACAGTGACTGAAGAATTGGCTCTCCGAGTCTCTGTAACAGTTATCCGCTATGATTTTTCTAATATCTTGTTCTGTATTTTTTTTTTTTTAATCTGGTGATGTTTTGAATCTGGTGAGTCTATTTGATATTGGATTCACATCATTAAGACTTGTCTAACCGTTCAGTGACCCCTAACACCCTCTGGATAGGGAATTGTCTAGCCAATAGGGTGAGGTCTTTTCCAAGCCTAGAAGACACTGATCCCAACAAGCTATAAATGTTTAATCACAGGATAAAGGTAACCATTCATAAAAACTTTGCATTCATTTACAGCAACCCTTGTGTCTTAAGGACCAAGTGGACCCAAGGATCAAGGGTTCAGATTTTTCCTTTAGCTAGATGCAGAATCACTCATGTGTTACAGTCATAATAGGTCACTTTATCTCAAATCAGCCAATTCTTAAAATCTTTCCTGCTGGTACGAAGTTTCTTAACATCACAATGAACCAGGCTCTATAGTTTGAGACGGACATTAAAATGTGTGATAACTTGCTAGTTAAAATATGAAAAAAGTCCAGTGCTCCTGCAAAGTCCCATATTTGAGCACTCATTAATAAAAAAAAATTAAAAAGGAAATTAGTGACAGTTTTTGAATGAATGTAGCTGAATTTTACAATACTGCAAAATAAAGTATGAAGACTTCTTTTTTGCCCGAGACTCTTAGCCACAAGCATGAAAAAAAAAAATATCCCTTTTTATTCAGCTTTCATGCTGGATTGACCAAGTGTGACAAGGTGTACCACAAAAAGAAAAATATCAGAAGATAGTTTCATCTAATTCAAACAAAAATCTGGAGTTTTCAGATAGTACTTTAATTTATTTTATTTGCAAGATTTTAAGTTATCCAATTGTGGAATATTTACTGTTAAACCTTCCCTAATTTGTATAAAAATGTTATCATTTATAGTGTGGATGTAGAAAGAAAAAAAAGTAAACTAAAAAAAAAGCAAATTATACAATACAATACAACTTTATTTATAGAGCACATTTAAAAACCAACGGTATGCCGAAGTGCTTCACATAAAAGACAGAAAATAAGACAAAAATATTATAAAAATTAAATATTATTAAATATTATAGGACCATAACAAAGTACCAAGTATGCTAACAGGTCAGTGTCACTAATACACAGGAATACCATAAAATGCATATCAACTAAAACATGTTAAAATGACAAAGCCATTTAAAATATGTATAAAAGGTAAAATAGACGAAGTCCAGGGATTAGATACAGGCATTAACTAGCAGGAAAGGCAAGGTTAAATAAATAGGTTTTTAACCGTGATTTAAATGATTGGATAGAATCAGATGCGCAGATAGCAATAGGAAGGTTATTCCATAAATCTGGGGCAGCCAAGGCAATTGCACGGTCACCTCTAGACTTCAGACAAGATCTTGGCTTCACCAGGAGTAACTGAGTAGATGATCTCAGTGCTCGAGCGGGAATGTACGAACTAAGGAGCTCGATAAGGTAGCTCGGGGCTGCCTTGTTGACAATTTTAAAAATAAGCAGCAGTAGTTTAAATTGGATGCGGTATTTAATGGGTAGCCAGTGCAGGTCAGCTAGAACAGGGTTAATAGAGGTATACCTCCCAGTTCCGGTCAGAAGGCGTGCTGCCGCATTTTGAACAGCTTACAGTCTATGAAGAAGAGCAGAATGATCAAATCAAATTTAAAAGAGCTATCCAGCAACACGCCCAAATTGCTAACAGTGTCAGAGAGGGAGCTGGCAAGGGAACCAAAGGCATCACGAAATTGTCTGTGAAGGATATTGCTATCAAATACCATGATTTCAGTTTTCTTATCATTTAAGATAAGAGTTTCCTAAGAGCCACTCTTTGACCTCACACATGCACTCTTGAAAGCAGTGCAGAGACCGAGCAGGATCATCAGCAAGTTCAAAGTAGATCTGTCAGCATAACAATGATAAGCGATATTGTATTTCTCAAAGATTGCGCCTATAGGGAGCATATACAGTGAGAATAGAATAGGACCCAGCACAGATCCTTGAGGCACGGCACAGTAGACAGGTGTAGGGGAGGAAGAGCAGGTGCCCGGGTTGACCGAGAAGTACCTATTGAAGAGGTATGATTTAAACCAATCAAGGGCAACACCTCTAATGCCTACAGTATGCTCAAGCCTCGCTAACAAGATGCTGTGATCCACCATGTCAGAAGCCGAGGATAAATCCAATAGAACTACCGCAGAGCGTCCAGTATCAGCAATTAGAAGAAGATCATTTAGGACTCTAAGCAAAGCTGTTTCAGTGCTGTGACGTGGTTTAAAGGCAGGCTGGAATTTATCAATAATATCATTCGCATCCAAATACGACTGGAGTTGTGAAAGAACTATCCTCTCGAGAATTTTAGACAGGAACAGGAGCTTAGAGATCGGTCTGTAATTCGCATAATCATTATGATCAAGGTTTCTTTTTTTTAAGACTGCGGCTGGACTACAGCATGTTTAAGAGCTGACGGGACACAGCCAGAGAGTAAAGAAGAATTCATTAAAGATAAAATACTGGATCCAATTACGTCGAAGCAGTCCTTGACTATATGCGAGATGGGAGGATATCATATATAGTTAGCTTCATAGCATAATTGCCTAAGTCATTTGACTAAGTCAATGACTTAGGCACTTATGCTATGAAGCTAACTATATAGGATTAGTATTCTTCAGTTGCTCAACTAATCACTTGAGAGCAAGGAGTGACACGGGCTCAAACTGATGGAAGGTTGATGAACAACCAGGAGTAGAAACAGGGCTCGACACTAAAGGAAGCGAGGACTTAAGAGAAGAAACTTTATCTAAGAAGTGAATTAAAAATTGTTCACAAAGAGCCGGAGAGCACACCAGCGGCATATCAGGACAGGGATTGACCACAGAATTACAAATTTTAAATAGCGTTCAAATGTTGTGACCATGAGCCAGGATAATTTTTGATAAGAAAGCCACTTTAGCCATTTTAGCAGCAGTTTGAAATTTCGAGCGGCTGGCACGTAGGATTTCATAGGATACCTGGCGTTTATCTTTTTTCCACCTCCTCTCATCACGGCGGCAGACGTTTAACCAGTATTGGGAAAAGGTTCTAGGGTGCTTCAATTTACTAGGTGCAACAGCGTCAAGGATAGAGGAGCATATGGATACCCGTCACCCAGGTTCCAATATGGATCTGGGCGATGTGAGTAAGAGAATCTGAGATTTAAAAGTGTTTGTCTGTCGTAGGTTATTAGTGCACAACCATCTGCTGAGCATAAAACCAAAAAAATAAGGAGTACTATGCCAAGGTCCAGTAAAAGGGGTAGGGAAGGTAAAAAGCAGAGGCACAGACGTGGACAAGGACAGCTTGCCATACACATCGGCGCCATCTTTGAAAAAGAAGTCCTGAGAGATTAATTAAACAAAAAACACTTTTTTTTCCTTTTTTTTTTTTTTTTTTACAACAAATAACCATTCCAGTGCATGTGATATTGAGTTACTTTTCTTTATGCAGAGAAGTGCTGTGCCGACTTGATGTCAATAGCCAAAGAGGCTAGGAAGCACAAACTGGGACCCTTGCATCCATCTTTCAAACTGCTTCAGAGAGTGCAGGACACTCTGCTGAAGCATCTACCAGAAGATGCCCTTGTTCGAGCCTCTGGGAAGCTCAGCGTGTCCCTGACCAGAGTGTCTGATGTGAAGAACGTACTAGTGTCAGAGTTTGACAGCAGAGAAGAGCTCGTTCAGGTATATTTTACAGCTTGGAGCCATTTTCATCCAGCAAAACTCTTCAAGGTTCAAGATTCAGAATTCCCAACTTTATAAGTATACAAAAAAAAAAGGATCAGATATGACTATTGACCTGAAAAATTTGCATTTCCTGCGAAAATGCAGTGTGGATGCCTTAACGCTGAAGATGTAATTTGAAAAAAGCTGAAAAAATTTAAAGTCGAAAAAAATGCTGCCCTGAGTAGGAGTCGAACCTGGCCATACTGGTCTAAGGGCAGCGACTCACCTCACTGCGCCAAACTCATTCTCACAAAGAAGAGGTGGAGAGACTGACAATTCTGGTGAAATTAGCAGAAGCTGCTTAGAATTGTGCTGATAAGAGGTGAAAAGGCTAAAAAAAATTTCAGAAGAGGTGAATAAGCAGAATTTGGGCAGAAAAGAGGTGAATCAGAAGAATTTCTGCTGAAAAGAGGTAAAGAAGCAAAAAGATGAGCTGAAAAGAGATGAATCAGCAGAATTTCTGCTCAAAAGAGTTTTTTCTGAAAACAGCTGAGATTTGTGCTGATAAGAGGTGAAAAGGCTGAAAACTTTGCAGAAAAGAGATGAATCAGCAGAATTTCTGCTCAAAAGACTTCAATCAGCAGAATTTCTGCTGAAAAGAGTTCAATCAGCAGAATTTCTGCTGAAAAGAGCTTTTCGCTGAAAACAGCTGAAAAAGCTAGTATTTGTGCTGAAAAGTGGTGAAAAAACTTAAAATTCTAATGAAAAGGGGTGAAAAAGCTGAAATTTGTGTCGAAGAGAGTTTAAAAAAAGTTTAACTGTTAGCTGAAAGAAATGTTGCCATAAGCGGGATTTGAACCCCGGTCTCCCAGTCTGAGAACGGATGCTCAACTCACTGAGCTACAACTCAATAGCATCCACACAATTATACAGCTATCACTGTTTTCCTCATTGCTAAAATGGATTTAAAGGCACAGTGTGTAAAATCTCAACACTAGATGTCAGTAGATAGCAGTCACTCGAACTCTGTTTTATTACTCCTTTCCTGAATTTCTGTTTTCTATTTACACTGCAGGAAGCTATAAAACTTTGTTACAGAAGTCAGGTCAGGTTGCTGCTGTTAGCTGCTGTTAATGAAACTTTCTTTAAAGTGGATCTAACATAGTTGGACTTGAACAATGAATAAACTCTCATATGATGTGAGAACGTAATCAAACTGTTTATTAGACGGAAAGTGTGATTTTTAGGATACTCAAACCTCACGTTAGTTGGCATAATGTCAGCTTACAACCAGCTATTGTTGTTGTTTGGCCAACTCATTGTCAGCTGTGCACAGACAGGAGGGTCACATATTTAATCTTCTGACAATAAGTAACTGCAACTAGGAATAAACAAGCATGTTTAAACATGTTTTCATGTGATAGAAACTTGACTTCAGTTCAGGAGATGAGGCCTGAGGTGAGAAGAAAGAGGCTGAGGTAGAAATGAGGGAGGAGAGAGCAGTGGAGGAGGAGAAAGACATGATGGCAATATACATACTCATAAGGTATATATGTGCTTGATCTCTAGCTGCATCTATTAGGTGGATCAGTGACGTCTGTCTCAGCCACTGTATTCAAGATGGGAGAGCAACATGGCTCTTATTTATTTTTAAAGGAATTTCAGAATCAGAATCAGAATCAGAATCAGAAAGGGTTTTATTGCCAAATGTTGAGCAGGTTTACAACATTAGGAAATTGCTGCGGTGCTTCAGTGCAAACATGCTGTCATAAATTGCGCTTAAATAGACATGAAAAAATAAAAGTAAGAATAAGAATTAAAAGTGCTACGTAGAAAGATATATGCATGAGATATACATGAGATATATACATGAGAATAAGAATTAAAAGTGCTACGTAGAAAGATATATACATGAGTGCAGGTGGTGATCAGTGCCAAAACATGGAATCATGCAGTGAACACAGCGTAGGGTCATGAGCTAGTGGTGGGAACAGTCATACGGTTATTGTTCATGTGACCAACAGCAGAGGGGAAGAAACTGTTCTTATGGCGAGAGGTTCTGGTGCGAATGGACCGGAGCCTCCTGCCTGAGGGTAGCAGGTCAAACAGACTGTGTCCAGGGTGAGAAGGGTCAGCTGAGATCCGAGCTGCACGCCGCGGTATCCTGGAGGTGTACAGGTCCTGCAGAGATGGGAGTCTGCAGCCAATCACCTTCTCAGCAGAGCGCACAACACGGTGATGGAGGAGGTGAGGATGGACTCAATGATTGCAGTGTAGAATTGCATCATCGTCCGTGTTGGCAGGTTGAATTTCTTCAGCTGCCTCAGGAAGTACATCCTCTGCTGGGCTTTCTTGATGACGGAGGTGATGGTGGGCTCCCACTTCAGGTCCTGAGTGATGGTGGTACCCAGGAAGCGGAATGAGTCCACAGAGGTGATGGGGGTGTCAGTCAGGATGATGGGGGGGAGTGGGGCTGTGTGCTTCCTGAAGTCCACAATAATCTCCACTGTCTTCTGGGCATTCAGCACCAGGTTGTTGTGGCTGCACCAAGACACCAGACGTTCAACCTCCCTCCTGTAGGCAGACTCATCCCCGTCCGAGATGAGCCCAATAACGGTGGTGTCATCTGCGAACTTGATTAGCTTGACAGACTGGTGGGTGGAGGTGCAGCAGTTGGTGTACAGGGAGAAGAGCAGAGGAGAAAGAACACAGCCCTGAGGGGAGCCAGTGCTGATGGTCCGAGAGTCAGAGACATTCTTTCCCAGCCTCACATGCTGCTTCCTGTCCGTCAGGAAGTCAGTGATCCACCGGCAGATGGGATCAGGCACATTCATCTGGGAAAGCTTGCCTCGGAGATGGTCTGGAAGGATGGTGTTGAAGGCAGAGCTGAAGTCCACAAACAGGATCCTGGCGTAGGTTCCTGTGTAGGGCCATGTTGATGGCGTCATCTACAGACCTGTTGGCTCTGTATGCAAACTGCAGGGGGTCCAGGAGGGGGGCCGTGAGGGTCTTGAGATGGGAGAGAACTAGGCGCTCAAATGACTTCATGACCACAGATGTCAGAGCCACGGGTCTGTAGTCATTTAGTCCAGTGATCCTAGGTTTCTTGGGGAGAGGGATTATGGTAGAGGACTTGAAGCAGGCAGGCACATGACATGCCTGCAGTGAGGAGTTGAAAATGCCAGAAAACACTGGGGCCAGCTCGTTTGCACAGTGTCTGAGGGTGGCAGGAGACACACCGTCTGGGCCGGGAGCTTTTCGAGCATTCAGACTCTTGAACTGCTTCCTCACATCTGCTTCATGAATATGAAGAGTTGTGGTCGGAGGAGGTGGTGTGAAATCCTCTTTTGTGTGGGGTGAGGAGGGGGGTGTTGTAGGTGAACAGTTTGAAGGTGGTGATGGCTCTATGGAGGGGGGAGAGGTGGGGGAATGAGTGTCCAAAGTGTCTCTATTGTTGGGGCCGTTGGAGGTGTGAAGGCTGCCTGATGGTTCGTCAAAACGGCAGTAAAAGTCGTTGAGGGTGTTGGCCAAGAGCAAGTCATCAGTGGAGTGGGGGGTTTTAGGCTTGTAGTTTGTGATATTCCTAAAACCTTTCCACACAGAGGCCGAGTCATTCTCTGAGATCTGCTGCTGCATCTTCTCAGAGTGCTGATGTTTTGCAACGTCCACTTCTTTAGTGAACCTGTACTTGGCCTCTCTGTAGCAGTCCCTGTCTCCGCTTCTGAACGCCTTTCTCTTTTCCAGCCACAGCTTTTTGAGTTTAGGAATAAACCAGGGTTTGTCATTGTTATAACTCACCCTGGTGCGTGATGGCACAATGCTGTCCTCACAGAAGTGGATATAGGAGGTGACAGTGTCCGTAAACTTATCCAAGCTGTTAGAAGCAGCCTTCATTGTGTCCCAGTCTGTAGACTCCAAACACGTGCGAAGCTCCTCCACAGCCTCGTTGCTCCACAGTTTTTTTGTCCTCACGACAGGTTTGGAGAGCTTCAGCCTCTGTCTGTATGCGGGGATTAGGTGGATCATGACGTGGTCAGAAATCCGAGTGAAGCGCGGGGCACCGCGCGATAGGCCCCGCTGATCGTGCTGTAACAGTGGTCTAATGTCCTCTCCTCTCTGGTCGGGCATTTAATATACTGCTTATATTTCGGAAGCTCATGGCTCAGATTGGCTTTGTTAAAGTCCCCAAGAGCAATGATGAGAGAGTCCGGGAATGTCCGCTCCGTGTGGAGTATCTGCTCCGCGAGTGCGCACTGAGCTGCCTGCGCATCCGCGTCTGGCGGGATGTAAACAGCGGCCAGGATGAATGAAGCAAACTCCCGCGGAGAATAAAACGGTTTGCAGTGAATAAAAAGGTATTCCAGAGAGGAAGAGCAGTGCTGAGCAATCACTGTTACATCTGTGCACCAGCCACTATTAATGTAGAAGCAGACACCTCCACCTTTGGTCTTACCAGAGAGAGCGGCCTGCCGGTCCGCGCGCAGCAGATGAAAGCCCTCCAGCTTGAGCGCGCAGTCCGGGATGTCCTCACTGAGCCACGACTCCGTAAAACATAACACACAGGAGGAGGCAAAGTCTCTGTTCATGCTTCTCATCAGGGCCAGTTCGTCTATCTTATTCCCGAGTGAGCGTACGTTGGAAAGGAAGATCTCAGGAAGAGCAGTTCGCAGTCCGCGTCTCCTCAAACGCACGAGTGCGCCAGCTCGCTTCCCTCTCTTTCGGCGTCTCTTTAAAGGATAAATTCAAGTTCAAGAACGGATCAATTTGCTGGAAGATGTATTTACACAATAATTAATTTCTGTTTATGAGTACATTTTCTTCTGTTAAATAACTTAAACAAAGTACCTACTGTACCGTTAAAGGCTGACCAGAAAGACAAGAGACAAGACAGGACAAGTAGAAGAGAATTTTTGAGAAACTAGGTAGAGGAATAATTCTGTTGTCCTCTCTGGCATGGATGAGTTTGTGTTTCTACATCCAATGTGACATAATATCTGACCTTTCCTAGGCCCTCATATGCAGCTGCTTCATCCCGTTTTACTGTGGTGTCATTCCACCCAGATACCGTGGAGTGGTAAGTATATTAGAAAGGTTGAAATGATAACCCAGTTGACATTACAGCACATAAACAGAGTTACACTTAGTTGTGTAACAGTATTCTGGTTTCTATCTGTGCAGCTGGCAGCATATGGAGACATCTCAAAACTCTGCTTGTGTCTTATCCTGATTTGTGAAACCAAGTTGAATTAAAGTTCTGGATGACAGATATGCTAAAAGTGATTGAGCCTTCATCAGAAACTGTGTACAGTTTTTTCAGTGTTAAATAATCTGAATATCTGGTTCTATGTGGTTGTGACATGGACCAAGATTATACCTAATGACAAACAGCTTACTTTTCCATTCAGCACTATGTGGACGGTGCCATCACTGACAACCTGCCCGGTTGTCAACTGAAACAGACAATCACGTTCTCGCCATATGCTGGCAAGAGTGATATCTGCCCCCGGGCAAGCACACTAAACCTCCCTGAGGTACGCTTCAACAATGTCAGCATCCAGGTCAACTCAGAGAACCTCTACAGAGTGACCAGCACCTTCTTCCCTCCAGAGCCTGAGGTGTGTTACAGATTTGTGTAGATTTCTATTATTTTCATCAGTTTTCATCAGTTTGAATTTTTACAGGCAATGGCTGAAATTTGCAACAATGGCTACAGGGATGCTTTTCGTTTCCTACAAGAAAACAGTAAGGACGTTGATAATGGCGGCTAAATATTCATGAGAATAAACTGGCTCCAAAAGATTCAACTCAAAATAAAACAAAAGATACAAAATAGACCATTCCATAGAAGCGTTTGTCAGATTTGTTTTTCTTTACTCCTTATCACATTGGACTTTTTTGCTTATCACAGATCTGATCAGCAGTGAGTGTCCCATAAGAAATCTGGCGATCGATTCATTTAAAAATGTCTGCTGTGAAGTGGTGAAGGAGTCCAGCGTGAAGGCACAGCAGGATGGATTGAACACACTTCGGGAAGATCACTGGTGGTTGGATCCACACCTCGTAGAAAATCTCCCGATTGAAATTCAAAGGGGTAAGGACAGTTCGCCTGTGATGAGATCAGCAGGGAAAATACAGCAGACAAATAATATACCATTGAGCCAGTGCAATCATTTTTTTAATGCAGTCAAAGTAAATATGTTTTTTATTGTATTTGTGTCAGTGCTATGCGTGGCCTGCAGAGAGACACGTACTGCTGATGGTCTGTTCTCCTACATGACTGGGTACCTGCCAAAGAAAGTGACTTCTTACATACAGATCCCCTATTTTCTGCCTGTTGAGTTGGTCAGCTCTCTATCCCAGAGGTACTTACTTACTATTCTTTATGTTGGATCCACAACATTCAAATGAATTATGCTTACACTGAGCCCTTTTCTTCCCTGTGATCTTAAAATCAAAAACTGTTCTTTTGTTGTTGATGCCAAAAATGTATTTTTCATTCTCAACTACTAAACTAGGCAAACATTATTTAGTTTTTACTGTCAGTTATTTTTGGCAGAAGTAAAAATTTAAAAGGGATTTTCATTCTGGACCAATATTTCAGTCTAACCTTTAATGTAGGATTTTATACAGATTATTTCCCCTTTAGTGATAATGCCGATTTTACTTCAAAGTGCCAAGTGCTTTGACCTTTCACAGCCATTATGGATTAATGTGTTTCTCTCTCTTTGATTGCTTCTTTCAGATTAGTTTACTGGATTCCAGATCTACAGAGGGACATGAGCTGGCTCTATAGCATGGTTGGAGACATATACAAACAAGCATTGAAGGACAACAAGGAGGAGAGTGATAGGTAGGCAGTGAAAGGAAGATATGCTGTGCATTCTTCCACTCTTGATAAAAGGATGTAATGTGATTTCACTGGTGCAGACATGATATCATATGTCAAAGTACAAATGTGATAAATGTAGTCCTTAGTTTTATAGATGTCCTGAACCAAAGATTTGGATAACATGATTAAAATCTAGATAAGATAATTGTTGAAAAATCTATCGTTAGATTTATTTCTTGGAACAATGGCCATGAGATGTTCTGACAGTGGATTCAGAAGATTTTCCACACACATATTAATTTCAATGTTTGTTTTTCCAGTGAACCACCTCTGCGCAGATCTAAAAGCCTGCCGTTAGGCCTGAACCTGTGCAGTGAAGGAGAAGGAGATATAAACAATTCCTCAGTGACCCCAGAAGCCACTTCTGCCTCTAGCCGTACCTTTACGTGCAACACACACAGTACATTGGCTCACATGCTTCTGATACCACCCACTGGCAGCGGCACGTCTGGGTTTAATGAAACCACCCTAAAACCAAGTGCAGGTAGAGGCTGGGGTTTGGGCAGAGTTACGGGATGGCTGGGAAATTCAACCAAACAAACTTGAAATCTCAAGGAAAAAAAAAAACCATAACAAGCAAAAACAACTGTGATTGTGTGTAGCCCAGTCTGAGAAACTGCAAGACATATTATCTTTATGCCAGCAGCTGGCAACATCAGCTAAACAAAGAAAACAAATAAATAAACAAATAATGAATTACAATAATCTTTTTTGCCACTGTAATAGGATATAATGAAAAAGAAAATCATTTATCTGTGTCATCATGCCTCAATGCCCTGTTTACAAGCTTAGATAAATCATCTCTTTCTTGCCTACAAACTATGCAAAATGGCATGGCCGGATTACCATGTTCTAGTAAGCAAGCTCACATTGCTCATTTTTTAAATTTAAAAGTATTGTATTTACGCTAAATAGAGAGGCTGTAGTCTATTTACCCCATCTTCTCCTTAAACACACTGCTATTGGCTCAGTCAGTTGTTCCTCACACATCACTGAACACTAAAGAGTGGACAGAGCCTTTCAGACACTGGCACTAAGGGCTTGAGATGGTCTCCTACTACAACTATACATACCTGACTCTGTGGACTCCTTTAAAATGCATTTGCAAACTTGTCTTTCATATGTATATATTCCTGCTATTTTCTATTGTGATTCTTCCAAGTTTTTATTTTGTTTATTCCGTAAACTTGTATGGCTCTTTGTGACTACATAGCTGTATAAGTGTTTTATCAATAAACTCCTAATATTTTACTTACGTATGAGTATTTAATGTTTACTTGGCTTTCATTTGGATCCATTCTTCTCACACACAGCCATAATGCTCAAATTGGAGCTTTTGAGCATTAACAAACAAATGAACAGTTTGATGTAAGGTCCAAGTGTCAAGTAAATAAATAGAAAGGTGTGTGTGTGTGTGTGTGTGTGTGTGTGTGTGTGTGTGTGTGTGTGTGTGTGTGTGTGTGTGTGTGTGTGTGTGTGTGTGAGCTGGGGTGTATTACTGGAGCTGTAAAAGTAAATATGTATCTCATGGTATTTTTGATTTTGATGTTGTTGTTTTTTAAAATATCTATTATAGCTCTTGTAACCACATAAATATTTTTCAGATATAAACAATACAAATAAGCCAAATATTTGATTTGAACAAAGTCACACATTTATGTTCAATATTGGGGCAAATAAATAGAATCACTTTATTTATTTTTTATTTATTTATTTTATTTATTTATTTTTTATTGTTTATTTATTTCACCTAATACAATGCTCATTGGCTAATATGATATAACACACACGTGTTTCTTGGATTTTTTTGTATCTCATAAATTATAGCCCTTCACAAACACCTACTAACCAGTCAGAATGGTCATGGCGTTTTCCCACTTGTGCCTCCCATATTTTTGTACACAGTGCGGAGTTGTGTAACTAATGAAAACTGAATCACATGTCATACAGCGGGCCAAATTACAGTTAGTGAGCAACTCCAGCTTGTTTTCTATTTTGAAACGTTTGAGCCTAGTAAGTTGTGCAATACCACACCATAGCCAGCTAAAACACTCCCCGTTTACATCTGACTGTAGTGCAGATAACGCAGGTCAAGTCAAACCTGGGAGGTTCCTAAATGCACCAGCTGAACTCTGAGACACGACTGACAAAATGACAATATTATAGATATCGTTCTGAGTTTTAATTAATCTTACAGTCAATGGAGAAACCAGGTAAGATGTTTAACTGGGTCGAGGAGTGGAACATCTCTTTTGCAGGCTGTGGATTCAGGAGCATTTACTACGTGGGAGCTTTGAGCTGTATCCTGGAGCGGGCTCCACAGCTGGTTCATGGTGCTTCTAAAATTTGTGGATCTTCCTCTGGGTGTCTCGTGGCTGCAGCTCTCACTGTTGGCATTCCCATTGGTGAGTCACATTTAATGTACACTGCAGATTACAGTTTGTCCAGCTCTTCAACAGTTTGTTTCTTAAAGAGAAATTAAAGAGGAATTCATAAATAAAATGTAACTCTTGGTATCATTCTCATACACAAAATTGACCAAAAAAAATATGCAAGTTTATTTTATTTCTACATGCCTTGTTGAATATATGAAAACATTTTGTGTGACATAATTCATGTTTATTGCAATGCGTTGTATTTTTGTATGAAATTTTTGTCTTTTTTTCATTTGCACTTGAAGTACCCGTCCATTCATGAAGTTCAGGCATATCTCAAAACAAATGGTGTTGTATCTGACACTAGGCAGTGTATTTCATAAGTTCCTGACACACAAACAGCTGATACAACAGTGAGAGCAAATTCCATAGGTCGCACAGAATTCAAGGTCAAGTGAGCGGACTGTAGAGGAAAACAACTGCTGTGCAATAAAAAACAGACATGTGGATAATGCAATGATACATCATAATGTCACTGGTTCTCTACATTAGCCTGAACATTTGGTTCTGCTCCATTTTCTCCCTCAGAACAGTTGTGTGCTGATATTTTAACCACAGCGAAGGAGGCAAGAAAACACACCTTTGGAGTTTTCCACCCGACCTTCAGCCTGCTCCGGACAGTCAGGGACTCCCTGCTGGAAAAGCTTCCAGAAGATGCCCACCTCCGGGCTTCTGGAAGGCTCTGCGTGTCTCTCACCCGAATAGCTGATGGGAAAAATGTTTTGGTGTCCGAGTTTGCCAGCAGAGAGGAGCTCATTCAGGTTGATCAGATTGGTGACTTTACAGAAAAATTGTTGGGATCTTTTAGGCTTCTCTGTTCTAGTGATCTAACCTCTTTACCTTTGCAGGTTCTCATGTGCAGCTGTTTTTTCCCTGTTTACTGTGGTTTCATTCCACCTTCATACCATGGCATGGTCAGTAGAGCTTAACTTTTTTTTGTATGCTTTCTTTGCTTTTACTGGTCTTATTATTGAAATAAATGAGTAGAGATTTCTGTGCCATAGACCATAGAGAATGGGAAAGAAAAACCGCTTCAAAGCTACAGGAGCATTTTATTGCCAGATTTCAGAGGCAGGTAAATTTGGGAATCATAGAAGTGGAACGGGATATCATTCATATATCATATCAAATCCTTTCTCATCACGCCCTGTTGCAGTTGAGCGAAGACAACCATCTCAGCAGTCTCAGCAAGTTTCATAACATAACCTTACTAATCGGTCGGTGATGTTATGGTGGGCATGGCCATCTAATACAGTCTATGGCTTTCTTGGCTAAAAGACGCAATATCTGGAGGCTTTGTTACAGCCAAAGCTTTTAATATTTTTCTCTGCTCACACGTTAATTTTAAACTCATTCAAGGTTTACATAAGGTAAGTGGCATAGAGCACACAGGTAAAGAGGCAAGCACACTTTAAATTATGATTGAGCATACAAACAGAGCACACAGCATACGTATGATCTTTATTTGAGAGTAGTAATCCACCTTTACTTTATAAATGCTATGGCTGCTTGGTATATGAGGACAGTTCGTGACATGTTTTTGTCACACTAGATCTACTTCGTCATCTCAGCTTGCCATCAATTTTGATCATTTTTCTTTCTTCTAAGCGCTACGTGGATGGAGCACTGAGCAACATGATGCCGTTGTCCGAGCAGAGAAACACCATCACCATGGCGCCATTCTCAGGAGAGAGTGACATTTGCCCCAGAGAAGGGTCATACAATTTCCTTGAAGTCCACTACGGAAACGTCAGCATTCAGGCCAACACAGGGAATGTATATCGAGTCTGTACATCCTTCCTCCCCCCCAGACTTGAGGTGGGTTCATGTTCAGAGCTCACGACTTTAAAGCAGTAGAGTGTACAGTAATGTTTAACTGTTTGTTTGTTTTTTGTGAGGCAGAAGCTGGCTGAGATATGCCACAACGGCTACATGGATGCTCTTTGTTTCCTGAGAGAGAAAGGTGAGATTTTTCCACCTTCATTTTCTTTAGCATTTCTGGTTTACACCATAAAGTTATATTAAAACATGTTATCAACCAACTGTCTCAGATCTGCTTACAGCACAAAATATTCACAGCAGTGCAGTGGTAGGAGCCAAATCTCCTTGCTGTGAGCAGACGAAGGAAGTGGGTCGTGCAGAAGAGAGGATGATGAAGTGTCACAAGGAAAACCATCTGGACCACAGAGTCATTGAGAACCTCCCAGTGGCTATCAAGAAAGGTAAGGAGGTCAAATGAGACGAGGTGATCATCAGATATACAGAAGTTTTTGTAAGACTTTATTTTAATTGAAAAAAAATGTCCTTGTAAGAGCGCTGGTTCAAATGGTAAAGAGGACACAGAAATGGAACAGGAAGAGTGTAATGATTTGGTATGAACATAAAACAATCATCTTTATGTTCGCCTTTCATGGCCATTGGTCCTGGATAAACCCCAGTGGAGGTGGTTGCATTGACTCACAAAACATCAGTTGTGGTGTACAAACCTAAACAAGGGGTCCTGAAAGCCTTTTCAAAGATTAACTTCTGACAGTTAATGACATTTAGTTAAATCGATTATATGTTAATGCTAACAAATTGAAAAAGTATTACATTAGGAGGGCATTACTTGCATCCACCATCTTGATACTGCTGTATTCTTCAAGGTAAGAAGATAGAGGAATCTAATGTAGCTCATATTTAAATAATCATAAAATATTTCTTTACAATATCCTCTCTGCTTTCAGTAAAATGGTAGGCTGTAACAGTCTTTCTGATCTATTCGGTGGATTTATATAGACTGCCAGGTCCACTGAGCAGCAGAATATGATGTAATCTTAAGATTTTAAACTAATGATTTAAATTTCCCATTTTATGTAAAATGTATTAAATTGAGGTTTAAATGAATGAACAGTGTCATTTATACCACACACTAGGTCTCTCACAGGTAGCATGACACATAATTTTATGTAATTTCCACCCTTTGTGTGTCTGTGTTAGTGCTATGTGAGGCATGCAGGGATAGTCATGACAGTAGCAGCTGGAGGCCGCATTACAGGGACTTCCTCACAATGAATTTGTTTACCCATCTACTTACCTTCCTCATCTTACCTGTTGAGCTGACCATCTTTTTTACCAAAAGGTAAAGTGTGAACTGTTTGATCTGAGAGTTCCCTAATATCCTATTCTCTACTGGGCTTTGGAATGAACTTGGGTTAACAACAGCAATTAGTACTTCAATTTCTTTCTTTTTTTCTGTGTTTTACTGTGAAAGCATGGTGTCATTCAGCTGTACAGCACTTTGCAGATTGTTACTGTGGTCTGCAGATTTCTACAAGCAGAAATGGAGTATTAGCAATGATAGCATCAACAGGTATGTGTACATAAAAATTCACAATTTTACCTCTTTAAAAAAAAAACTGATTTAATCTTAGGATTATTAAATCTCATTTTTGGCTTTCTTTACATATGCCGTGTCTTTGTCACTCCAACAAACTGTATCTGTTGCTAATATTATAAGGAGGTAACATTAATGAAAAGCTCATCCTTTGTGTGATTTTTAGTTTTTTTCCTCTTCATATTCTTCAGCGCATCTCAAGAGAATAACTGCATCTGCAGGTCATCTGGTTCAGACAGCAGGAATCAGAGAGGACGAGACATAAATACACAAACTCTGAAATCAAAGATGACCTCAAATTCTAAAATGAATCTCTGCTGGGACACCAATGGCAACATGGACCTTATGCCCCCAGTCTCAACTAGAACTGCATCTGGCCAGGTGATGTTAAACACACCAGGGAAGGGACGTGTAA